ATGCTGATTGTTGGTATTTTATGCGGTTTGCAGAGAATCATTTTCTCTCATGATTATTTTTTGAACCTGTTATTCAAATAATCAGGAAGTTACATTGATCTGATTACTACTACAGGACCAATATGGTCCGTTAAATTTAATAACATTCTTATTTATTGATGTTGCGTAAACACATCCTCTCTATTCTTTCTATTATTCATTCGATATATTTTAAACTTATGACAATCAGTCAGCATTACAACGAGCATGCTCTGAATTTTCAGGTTATTGCCCGTGCAAACGAAACTACATATGGTCTCGCGGCTTCCATCTTTACCAAGGACATCGATAAAGCCCTGGAGTATGCTAGCAGTGTCAATGCTGGGACTGTCTGGTATGTCATTCAGTTTAACTAAGTGCCTTCCTCAGTAAAAAGGATAGACGGCATGATGTATTTATATAATGTTTCAATGGAAAATAAAGAGAAATGTGTATATCACCACGAAGTCGATTTACGGTGCATTTTTATGCCTCCCTATAATACGAATTCCTAGTTGCATTCTTTTTTATTGGATTTATGGCGCTCCGTTGATCTTTGATTCAGTGTCATAAGCCAGGTGTGACTTCTCAAGATTTATTATCGTACGTAAATACAATTCAGATGTTTTGTAGTAACCGCCACAAATGGTAACTTCTTGCTATTTTGTCATGCGACGATTTAAATTAGCACATAGTTTCCCATTTCTTTTTCCTGTGAATTTACTCGTATATCTTCTGCAGAAACATGCAAGGGCGGATGACATCTTTTACATACAGCCTTCCAACTGTATTTGCAAGCAGATTTGGCGTTCTGCTGATTGAATCACTCAGAGCTGAATCCCAGTGGAAACTGCTGCCTCATTAGCTGACAGTTTTGAGTTTTTGAAAGCCTCTGTTTCCACTGCACAGGATGAAGAAAATGTTCTCTGCAGTACTGGTGCAACTGTGAGATTCTGTACTTTAAATACATTCAATGCGCAGTTATATTTTCTATGGCATGTTGACTATATTGTAGGTAACTCTTAACCTCACCTTTTAGGGTAAACTGCTACCACGTTGTGAAGCCGCAGGCTCCATTTGGCGGTTTCAAGCAATCCGGACTTGGAAGGGAACAGTAAGTATTACATTTAAATGTGTTGCTTGTCGTCTAATGTCTATTTTAGTGGCTTCGAAGGGATATCCGAATATTGCGAAATAAAGACGGTGATTATAAAACTAAATAATGCAAAATATATACCTTAAAGTTGAAGGAAATTTGGTAGCAAAAGTATAGGTGATTAGAGTTGAAAACCATTGTCAACCGTATACTCAAAGGTCTGCTCCAAATGTAACACCACGAATTTTTCCCTTCGTACCTACGTTAATGAACTCTCGATATCCGCGTTGATAATTTTTATCCACATAATGATACCAATATAGGAAATGAAAAAAATCCGGTGTAATACGACTAACAGTCCGAGTTTTACATCCTGATGTTTTTCAAGTATATTAACAAGGAACTAAGCAAATTGTTAATAAGCGTCAAAGCGTGACGAATTTATTCATTTAATTTCAGTGTTTCTGAAAGTTTATGGCAATTCATTCTTCTGTGAGTAAGTGCAGCTAGGGTATTTTTTGATTCCATGAAGGGAGGCACCGAATGAGTGCAGAATGCTTAACAGAAGACAAATATGTAATACTAGAAGGTAGATTTTAAGATAGTTTTTTTAAAACGATATGGTTAACTACAGGTAGCACATATGCATTAAGCACTGACTTGATTCCAGTTAATTTAGCTTTTTCGAATGACAAGAATGGGACCATTTTATAAGTTTCGTAAACTTGCTATCTCTGGATACAAAATGAATGAGTGAATAAATCAACAAAAGAATAATCAGTGAATGTTTCATATAGCATTTTGCATCCTGTCTGGGCAAAGATGCGCAGTGTTATATAAAACGTTAAACAGTAACAAGTTCCTGTCATGCTTTTTTGATGTTGCAGTTTTGAAAATTAATCAAAAATTTTACTTGTTGCTCGCTTTTCAACCAAGGTTCATCGTTGGTAAGCTTTCTCTTCAATAAACCGCTGCAAACTGGATCAAGCTCTTCAGTTCATCTCTGTTAACCATATACTGTCACGTTGTCAGGGCTATAGACTCTGTTCGTCATGATTCTGCGATAGTTAAATTAGTTTTTGAAGTAACATCAACTAGCAGTTGTCTGTACAGTATCGACATACACCTGGTTCGTATTTTAACTTAAAAGCGCAGTTTTGCAAACTGACTTGCATGCTTAAGTGATTTTGGCATGAATTTAATACGTTGATGATGTGAACGAAAGAGGTCGTTAAGAGATGCTCAGATTATCAAAGGATTTGAACATCTTTAACTCACTAAACATACTAAGTCCTTCTACGAGCATTGTCAGGATGCTTCTGAAGCAGAGGCCATCATATCTGATAAGATGAATAACATCTGGGCTTTAATTTTTAAATTCTTCTCCTTGTATTACTGTATAATTTCTCCAAAAGGATATTTTACCTCCTCTATTAATTTCTTAAATATTCCTTGTTCTAACTGAAGTTTTTTAGATTTATGTGAAGACGTCCAAAAAGTTATGAATCACCGTATGATAAATGACATACTGCTCATTTTGAATATTTTTGTTTTCCCTATTGCACTTCGAATTTTAAAATTTGACAGATTTACTTTTTAAATTTCAGTATATCACATTTTCGAAGTAGTCTTTTATTAAACGTTGACGACTCCATATTATCAGATGTAAACAATGTTCCATATGTTAAGCTACCGTTATGAAACATCCGATAGATTTAAATTGTTATTTACTCTCGTGTATTATGCCTTGTTCTGTATCATGCTGCTTTACTGTTTGCTGAAAAGCCTGTGTCTATATGATAAGCCTGAACGACGGAATAGGAGTCGTTGTGACCAGATATCTGTATGATATATGAATACCTGTCGCTCAGTAAAACTTACCACCTGGTAAAATGACCTGAATCGCGTTGAATTAATGAGATCCTAGTGATGAACTTCACGTTTTTTCTAAACTTGCACGGAGCAACATTAATGGCAACCATTCACTGTTCAATGATGTGAGTGATTTACTGGGCATTGTTAAATGTCATCTTCCATTCAAACCGATCATTATACCTTGGAAAACATCTTGCTGTATTTCTTTGATGATGATTTTCAAAGCTACATGAATAAGTTTAACGGCTTTCCATCCATACAGTCTCTACTTTCTTTTGGCTTGATGCTTGAATTTCTGATTCTAGATATAAATCATACACGGTGTGACAAAATTCATACTGATAATACATTAATGCGGATGTGCTCTGTTCTTTACTCCGGAGTTTGTCTACTTTTCTACCTGTTAACGTCAGAAACAACTGTCACAGGTAAAAGAAAATACGACAGAGTATTGTTTTGGACCGCAAATGTACTTCTTACGGCTTGTATAAATTTTGAGACTGACTTTTGGGTATTGGCAAATCCTTTTCGTTTAATAAAGCAAAAGTTTCGAGAGTAACACTCAGAATAGAAAAACAAACTATAGCAAACTCTGGCATCTGCGCTGGAATTGCACAGTTCTGTTTATTTCACTTATACTCCATGAAATAGAACATAAATGATATGAACACAACATCAGTTCGACCCTTCTACCAAAGAACAGGCAGCTGCAGCACTCTTCAAATCGTGACTGTTCCTAGAAGAGACGCCTTCTGCAGTTCATCTACCTTGGCGCTGATGGTCTCTTTACTGCTCTAAGGGCACCACTCACTACAGAAATCACGTCTGCTCTTACTCTCCCGATATTTTGTATCTCTGTCCTCAGTTGTTCATATTTCAGCATCTTTTTCCCTCCTCTCAGAAACGACGTTGTCGTCAGCCGGACATGGCTATATCAACGATTTGTGCCCGCATTTTCGCTTTGTCAGCCAACAGTTTCAGGACGATGAGCCAGTATTTCTTTCTCAGCTCGTATTGGGAATCCCCTTAGTATTTTCACTCGATTCGTCTCTTCCATTGCATGAATTGCTTAACTACTTTTGGTAGAAGTATATCGAATATTAATATTCAGGATAAGTAAATATAAGTCAAGAAAGTAGCTGGTTACTTACGTTATTGGTTACATCTGAGCCAAAAGTGAGGCGTTATTTTAACCGGAGTTGCTGGCATATAACTCGCCAGTAAAGTCTTATTTGCGACTGATTCATACTTTCACGTACAATTATGGTAACATATTTATTTATAAGTAATTCGAATAGATTTTATGCAGTTTCGCATCCGTGCATTGCAAGTGCAATAATACTACTGAACCCGAGTCTGCTTTAAAGGTCCTTACAAATAAGCGGACGATGCGTAGGTGTATAACAGTGACTGGTATATACCATGAGTCAATTTCAATGTGTAACTTTTACATCTAAACGAAAATAGACGAGACAAAACACACCGATTTTTCTGCTTTACCCAAACCTGAAAGTTACCTCGTTGAGTTGGATAAACGCCACAAAAAACAGCATTACTGACAGCGCATTGCGCGGAAGGTCCTGTGCTAAGATAAATGCCTGGCTCAGGATGTCAAACGAATTATTCAGTGATTATGCCCTTCGCTTGCTGCTTCAAGTGCTGTGCACGACCGTAACCAAAGTGAGCCTCTCAGCTGAATCCTTCGAAGACACGAGTAATATGAAACCTAGATGGAGAAGGCAAAGTGGAGATTACGTCTCAGTAAGAGATAAGTACCTCAGCCTTATCAATTTCAGTCTGTTGTACTGCTGTGTGAAAATAAGCGGGAACGAACAGTCATGTTCCTGCTTT